ATCGCGCCCCGGTGCCATGTCTCCGACCCCGGTGCGGGAATGCAATTAGATCTTTTTGATTACATTTTCAAGGCACCCCGGTGCGATCTCTCCGACCGGTGCGATCTCCGATGAAATACACACAGGTGTTGTATGAGTGGGAGCATACCGGTAACGGCAACGTAGGCTGGTACGTAACAGCTTTCCATACAGCGAGTGGTGTCGTGTTTGATGCGAGTTTGGCTATAGAGTGACGACAAGAAAGGATGTCGTTTCCATCTGAGGTACTGGTACATACGGCATCAGTTGTCTTCCGCTTTCGTTTCGGTGTTCCTCTACGGATACCAGTACGTACGAAGCAACGTACGAAGCAACAATAGCTTCGTGTTGTGTAAGGTGGGGTAGGATGTGGCTTGTACGTTGTGTGTCTAGTTGAGAGTATACGGTTGGCAACTTCCATACCAATTCAAATATGAAATCAACTGGCATCCCGTGTGAACCGCGACCATGCATACGTACATGCAGGGGTGGCGCTCCGCTGACACCATCCCCACATGTATAAGGAACACACATGTACCTCACTCCGGCAGCTGAAAATGAGCTCAATCTTTGGGTTTGGCGGTCGGTGTGCGATCTCACTGACCCCGGTGCGTAAATGGATGTAAATCGTGCCGTTCTCGTATTTTTTTAGCAACCCCGTGCCATCTCCCCGACCGGTGCCACCTCTCAGACCGGTCCTATCTCTCCGACTATTACGGTATATATTAAAGCTATGTTGTTTTCTTTCCGCGTTCACCCCTTCTAAACCAAAGCTTAACAAGCAGGCTATCGGCGAGACTATGTCGGCTCCTCTCTCCCCTCCTGCAACTCCCCCTTCAACCAACTTCCCCTTCAACCTACATGAAGTCTACAAGTAAGTATGCTTCAGACAACGTGGCGACGACTCGCTCAAACCTGGTGTATAATATCTCCTCAATATACCCTGCGCAAAAACTTTGGGTTTTTCTCGATAGTTTGACATGGGAAGGTGTTGAATCTAGTATCTGCCATTTGCAACCTACATGGGAGCAGATCATCTGCGATGTGTGCCTGTAAATGCAGCAGCCTACCCGCCTGGACCGATTTCCAAACATCAATTACTCCACGAAGAGAATGCGTGCATGAAACGACTGTTTCAGAAGGCTCTTGACAGAGCGGCTTCAACGCCGCCGTTTCCGGCGCTGCCACGCTTCTGCTGTGAAAGAATGGAGCTTGGAAAATCGGTCGAGGGGGTGTGATATCTTGTGTCATACCTTGTTTAGGTGTAGCCTGAGCCGGAAATGGGTAGGCTTTCGACGCCTTATAGGGTGGCTGTGGGGGATTGGGGGAAACATGCTTCTTCAGACGTCGTATGGGTTGTTGTGCAGTGTTGTGCCTGGTTGGACGTTGGCAAGCTATCAATCTGGAAGCAGATGGCAGCGGCAGATCTGGATGCTGATGCGCCTACCTCTAGCGTTGCGGGGCAATCGGTTGTTTCTTTCGTGTACAGCCAGCGCAGAAAGCGGTTCCGGTCATCTCGAAGCTGTGCAAAGGCCTAGACCTACAGCACCTAGACTCAGCTAGATATTCCACTCGCTCTTCGTACAGCAGCAGTACACGCCCTACCGAACGGCCGGCAGCCCGGTAGCGCGCACATACAAATCGGTGCCCCCGACAACAGTCTACATTGTAGACTAATTGATTGCTTTCGGCGGTCCTGACATGTTTTTCTAGCAGCATTATTCTCCTCCCCTACACACCATGAGTCCCCTGTGCGCGCAGGAACATACTCCACTGAACATACGAGCAGGCGGGCTCTGCAAGCCTGCACAGCTCGGGCTTCAGTGTGCAAGCTAGCAGAGCTGAGCTAGCCGAGTACCACCTCCAAACCGTCAAGAACCGCGTGCGCGCGCGCCCAAAAAGTACGGCATGCTTTCCGAACCTTCCGGAAACCCTACCCCCGAACCCCCTAAAGATCCTTTCGCACGATTGGTAATCCGACCTCTTTTTTTTTCTTAATAATATGACACAACGAAACCATCTTTTTTTTTTTGTGTGTGTATCAATGATCCGTCAGAGGGCCTGTAGACTCCAAAGGATTAAGGCCAAGTTCTTAGGTTGTGTACTTTTAGGCCCAAGTTTAGGGCGCGGGGGAGATCGCAGTACCTCCTCTTGAAACATCCAGGAAACGCCTGCTGCTGCATATTATCTTGGTTTTCCAAATTCTAACTCCAGTACGAATCTACAATCAATCGCAACCGAACAACCGAACGCTGTGACCCCCCCTCGTCTACATTTTGATTGATAGTCTTGAGATTGTAGCCCTTGCAATACACTAATAATGTAGCGGTCCGCGATTTTCCAAACGATCTTTGTGTCATCGAGATCGGTGAGCTGTGTACACCCAGGATTTGTAAGCTGCTGTGTGTGCCGTCCGATTTTGAAACGCTTGCTTCAAGCACACAGCAATGACCGCGAATGAATCACCGCCTACGTGAGTGAGTGTGTGTTTCCCCGCGGAACGTTCTGTTCAAAACACGAGGCACGTACGTACGTCATCATCCAAAAACTGTCGGTGCCGTTGGCTCCGACCGAATCCATCCGTGTCCTTTCTTTGTTTGCAGCTGCTTCTTTCTCCCTATCTATGCAAATATATGTGGAACCACCGGCGATCAACCCTCCGCAGCCGCTGACGAACACATCCGTTCAGAAATTGCTGCTGGCGATGGTTTGGACGTTATTTACTCCAAGACTACAAACCACAGTAGTAGTAGTAGTAGTGTACCACCGTCTGTCACACTGCAGCAGCTGTACATGATGACTACAAGAAGACAACATAATTTGGCCATGAAAAAATAAAAGAAGAGACGGCGCCCGCTCCCACCCACCCCGCCCCCGAGAGCGCCAACATCGACCGTCTAATAATCCATAACGTTTCTCATGTTCATTCGCTCCCGTGGGCCCACGCGCTGCACTCCCATCAACACAACTCACATGGAGCTCACTCGTGAGAACGAGGTTGTTTATCGTGCAGAAATGCAGGACCTTCTTCCTGACCGATTCAATTTCGTTGCATATCCTCCGGCAAAGGGCGAGCTGCTTGAGCCGTTTCAGCCCCCTCCCGTTGCACAGACCGGCGACGCCCTCAGCGCTCTTGAGATGTTTTTCAAGCGAAATTACTTCTTCGCGCAGACGACCTTGGTGCTCCCTTTCCGCCCATCGTTTCACGTACCGTTGCAAAATCAAATCGACTAACTCTCCGAGCACAGCCAATTCGAGCTTGTTAGAGGTCGCCGTTTGCACTAGGTCCTCGAAGGCCAGATACGTCTTGCAGGCGATACCCACTGCCGGTATCTCCTGCAGCAGCGTAGCCGCTCCAGCCGTGAACTCCCGGATATACGTGAAGACCCTGACCCCAGAGTCTTCAGGTGCCGCCATCGGCTGGGCGCGTGGAAAAAGTGAGGAAAGTGATTTTGTATACGCGCTGGTTGGTGCGGTCGGAAGTCGAAAAAAGAAAAAAGGGGTGTGTATCCAAACAACGTCGAAAGCTCTGTTTGACGGCAACGCTGGTAACGTGTGTCACCGTTGAGAGGCTGCACTCATCCGCGTGCTCACACCGATGCAGCGGGGACGGGCGGGATTGTGTTGTTTGCTGAAAAAAATGCAAGTGCAACGGGTCTGTCTGCTGTAAGGATGATAGATGTGTGAGAGAAGGGCAGCATCTATCTACGGAGATCGCAGCATATGATGCGGTTTCCAGCGGTTTCGATTAAACCGCCGGCATCCTACCGCGATCTCCGTAGATGCGTTCGAAGTTTCATGGAGGTTTCAGTGTCGTTGCTCTCTTGGACTCTTGGACTGCTCCGCGGCCCGGTCTCCCCCTATTGAGTTTTTGAATACTCACTTGTTCCAGGGAATCTTCCCCAGTGCCTTTGCCCATGAGCTGCACCAACTACTCAGGAGATGTACGATCCCCTACTACACTGGAGTGTAATGTATTTTTATGTGTGTTTCCCCCATCATTGGATTCTGTCGTCTGCCCCTCTGGCCCTTATCCTCCACTTCTACTGGCTAGACGACCCAACCGGGGTCACATTTGGACCCCCTCCTGCGTAGTATGTAGATGATCAACGATCGGAAAAAATTATTTTTTCATGTCGGCTGGCTCCACCCGCCGAGCTGCAAACAGCTCCCGCAACAACATCAAACAAGCCCACCCTGCTGTGACCTCCGTAGTAGAGGCCGTATATCGTGGAGTGAGTGCCGCTCATCATGTGGGCAAGGAAGCCACTCTGGGAAGTTTGGGGGTGTTCAAAAGCACAATCATTGAATGCCACTGAACTTTTGTGCTGACTCTGCTAACCTGTTGTATATAGTAGTAGAATAGTAGGGTAGGTGAGTGCGGTCATCGTCTTTTCAACAGGGGCACACGGGGCCCATCTTCATACTTTTACCCACACACCGCACTTTTTTCTTTGGGCGGGGGTGAAGGTCGTTTGTTTGCAGACTGACTACACTGTAAGAAACTGTTGAAATATGTCTCCCTGCCTACCTGTCCGTCAAAGGACCAGCTGCATCATTCATTCACTCATTTTGCACCTGCTGATCTCACTAAAATTATCACATGCTTCCCACTTCAAAGTTCAAGTCGACGTGGGGACTTCTTCCCAACACAAAAATAAACCCACTTTTTCCCTGTAGCTCTTTTTGTCTACTCAAAAGCTCCCAAACGAAAGATTCCTCTTCGTGAGGACCTTCCCGTTCTATTTCCTACTCATAACACACTTTTTGACGAAGAGCATCAGATCAGACTTACTTGCTCTCTCTCTATACATGACATGCATGTTGCTCTCCCCGTCTCTTTCCATCTGTCATTGGTTATCCCTAAATATCATACTCCCCAACACATGCCCGTGCAAAATCTAAATCTCCTGCAACAACGCAAGTTTTCATACTGTAGCGCCCAGTTAGACATGAACTCATTGGCTTATTATCTCCAAACATCGGATACAGCAGTCAAGCACGTTCTACGGAATATATGTATCCTCCTGTTGCCCACCCCAACGCACAACAAGGTAATGGGTGTCAACATACAACGTGTTTTCGTCCAGCAGGCTTCGCGAACCTCTCTGCACTCGTTCCCAAATGGCGCAAGCAAGCGTCAGTCAAAACTCAACACCGAACGCACAGACACGTTAGTGCAGGTCTCACGACCGGCCAGTTCGCCTACTTCGCAGCAGCAGAGTCGCGCCCAGCAGCCCACCCGCAACAAGCAGGGGCACCGTCAACCTCTCAGCAAGGCTCGGGGGGGGCGCGTAAACGTTCAAGGCTTTCCTCGTCTTGGCCGCGCTGGGGTGGTGGGTGCCCAGCTGCTCCTCCTTGATAGAGAGCGCTCGCCGGAGCAGCTCCTCCGCTTCCTCCGTCGGACCGCCCTCCTCGTGGACGCACACGCCGAGGCGGTGCAGGGTGCGCCCCACGTCCGGGTGGTTGGGCGCGAGCTTCTCCTCCCTGATGGCGAGCGCGCGGCGGAGCAGCTTCTCGGCGTCTCCCGTCCGCCGGTCCTCGGAAGCGCAAGCCCCCAGGTAGTGCAGCGTGCTCGCGACGTCGGCGTGGTTCGGGTCCAGGTCTTCCCGGATGCCCAGAGACTGCCTGAGCAGCCCCTCGGCCTCCTCCGTCCGCCCCGTCTTGAGGGCGCACAGCCCGAGCGAGTGCAGGGCGTGGGCGACGTTGCGGCTGTCGCCTGAGGGGTGACCCTCCCAGATGGCCAGCGCCGGTCGCAGAGTCTCCTTGGCCATCTCCATCTTCCCGGCCCTGTAGAGGCACACGCCGAGATGGTACCGGGTGCTCGCCACGTCCAGATGGTGAAGGCCTAGCTTCTCCTCCTCGATGGCCAGGGCCCGCCGGAGGTACTTCTCTGCCTCCTTCGTGCGCCCGGCCGTGTAGAAGCAGCGCCCGAGCTCGTACATGGTGTGCGCCACCTCCAGGTGGTCGGGGCCAAGCCTCTCCCTGAAAATCGCCAGCGCTCTCTGGTAGTTGTCTTCGGCTTCCTCCTTGCGGCCCGCCTTGTAGACGCACATGCCGAGGATGTGAAGGGTTTTCGCGACCGCCAGACTGCTGGGCCCCCCCGTCGCGGTCTCCTCGATCAGCCTCAGCTGGTACTGCTTGGTGTAGGCCTCCAGCCTGTCCTCCCGCCGCCAGTGGAAACGGGCCGCTCGTTTCAGGGCCTTGGGCAGCTTGGGGCTCGACGGGTCTACCCTGTTCAACGCCGCGTCGTACGGGCTGGCCACGGGCCCCGTCCCTTCCACCTGCGCGATCATGTCCCAGATCTTGACCAGCCACACGCTCGAGTACGTGCTGAGGGCCCTCAGGTCGGAGGCGTACCCTCGCCACCGCGCCAGCGCCATCTCGCGCTCGTCCTTGTTGGTCACCTCGCACTCGCGGACGAAGTCCGCGTGGACCTCGTGGACGCGGAACTTCCCGCCTACCTCCAGCGTGAGGATCGACAAGCGCTCGAGCGTCTCCAGCGCCTTCCCCGCGGCCTCCAGCTCGTCCGCCGAGCACTCGTCGCCGTAGAGCAACACCGCGGCCACCTTGGACCGAAAGGCCAGTCCCTTGGGCAGTATCGCCAGGGACAGGTAAAGCTCTTTCGTGTGCAGGGAGTCGGCCTCGAGCTCGTCCGGGCCGATGCGCAGCATGGCATCGCGCCAGGCCAGCAACCGACCGTTCCCGCCCCGTTTCTGGGCCTCCGCGATGTGTCCCAGCGCCGCCCGCCAGGCCTCCTCGTCGCTCCTGCCGCGGACCACGCCCCACCTACCGGCGAAGGCCAGCTGCATCGCGCCGTACTCGCAGCGCTGCATGAGCTCGTGTGCCGCTGGCGGGAGGGCCGCGTCGTCGCCTAGGCCCGCCGCCCGTCTCAGCACCATACCGCCCTCCTCCTTCGTGACCGCGTCCAGTCTCAGCAGCGGGGCCCCCGTCAGCAGGTCGTCTCGGCGGGAGGTGTAGAGCACCCAGACGCCGGCCCACTTGAGCTCCTCAAGCACCTCGGGCTCGCGGACGTCGTCGGCCACGACGAGAAACCGGTGGTTGCTCTCGTTCACGACCTCGTGGATGTAGCCGGCGCCGTCCTCCGGGTCCACGCCGACCCCGGCTAACCGGGGCGGGCGGCAGGCCTTCCGCAGCACCGTCTCGTACACCATCCGGGCGAGGTGAAGCATCAGCTCGGGCAGGCAGTGCTTGGCCCCCTCTCCTACCGGGAGCCACAGGACGCCCTTGTAGAAGTACTCGCGGACGTCCTGTCGCGCGATGACCATCGAGGCCAACGTGGACTTGCCGGAGCCGCCGGGCCCGGACATCCCGACCACCCGCGGCATCTCGAAGAACTCGCTCTTGCCGCTACCGATGCCGAGGGAGTCGCACGCCTCGGCCACCGCTTCCTTGCGCTCGACGTGCCACTCATGAATCCGCGGGGCCCCCGAGGGAACCGCGACCTCGCCCGCCGCCTGCGGTTGATCCTGCGAAAAGCCCTGTTTAGAAAAAGGGAAGGAGGGTTGCGACGTGTAGCGGACGGGACGCGCGGGGTTTACTGTCAAGAAAAATACGGAAATTGGCATTTGCCAAGGATTGATGACGGACACGGGAAACGATTTGACATGTCATCCCCTCAAAATAACCGACACGCATGCTGACCGCCAATTAGTAATGCCGCGGGGGGGGGGGTTGCTAGCGGTGAAAAGGACAAACGTGGGAGGGCGCGGGCGAGAGGGATAAAAATAAATATTGCGCCAAGCGTTGGCTCCCCGAGGATTTTCAGGAGTGTTCAGCGTCTTGAAGCCGTTGGTAAGAAGCCAATTTCACCAAGGTCTTGCGCAGGAATCATCGACCGGTGTTTTGAGCTATCTGATGTAGACTACCCCACAGGTCTACCATTGCACGTATGCGTGTCTCAGACTTGCGTGCGTAAATGAGCCAAGTATTCATACGCGCGCAGAAACCGCCTGTGCAAGTAGTTCAGACGGTGACGCCGTACTATGGCGTTTACTAGTTGCACGTCAGTGCCAATACAATAGTCAAGTATACTTGATATGCGTTTGTGGCAAGTCCAAGAACACAACGTTGCAGCCACGAATGCAAAATATACATCTTAGCCTACCAGCGCCGGATTCTGAACATGTTTAATTTGGTAGACGTTGATGGGTTTGTGTGATTTCATAGTGTCAAGGATGAGCGCGCACCCGCCCACCCTCTTACTCTGGACTATTCCCGTTTTCTGCTGACTCTGTTTGCTCTGGTCTCCACCCCCACCGATAACGACCTCCCGGTCGAAACGCGAATCAACAAACACACCCGCATGACTCAAAAGAAACCTCCCCCAATCGCCACCGCGCGGAGCATCATCGACCGGGAGACAATCGCGAAAATCTGTGGTGCGACAACAACGCCTTTGAATGAAATGTGGAGGTCGTGCTGCGCGCCTTGGGTGCACTGCTGCGAAGCAGACAAACCACAGACACCAATGCCGAATGTACTTAGTAGTCATTCTTCCCGTGTTGACTTGTTTCCTGTCATAACGCATACTATCAATAATACCTTTACTCCAAAACTGCAGTTACCGTAGGTTGCATAAGATATCGCACCCCCTGGACCGATTTTCAAAGCTCGATTACTGTACGACGGAGAGAATGCCGAAAGCAAAGGGTACGTTTTCGGAAAGCTTTCGATGAGACGGTTCCAACGCCGCCATTTTCGTCACTGTCACTGCTTTTCCTGCCGAACAATCGAGATTCGAAAACCGGTGCAGAGGGTGTGATATCTTACGTCATGCAACCTACGGAAAAAGACACACAGACCCGAGAATCACGGCTTTTTTGTTTCAAGGTTTCTTGCGCTGGGTGCGCTCGTCGTTCATTATATTATTCTCATTGAATTTGTCCTTGCCCTTCGTCAACCAGATACCAGTAGTATTTTTGTCTCCATACTTCCCCCATTGCTTGAGGGCCTGCTGAGTGTTTTGGGTATGTATCGGCGTGTTTTCGGTTTCGTTTTTGTGCCATTGTATTTGTCAAGCGCTACATTGCACTGCTCAGTACTGCTCTTCCCTTTAGTATTGCTCGTCAAGTATTTTGTTGCCGTTCGAGCATGGAGAAAGACAGGATAAAACACTAGATAAGAGCCATGGGGCAGCGCGGAATGGAAAGTGACAGGTGCGCAACCGATTATCTCGCGTGGATCATTTATCATGTTGTCAGTCTCGTGTCGTATGATCCGCTTGCTGGAGGCGGCCTCGTGTGTTTGCTTCCTTCGTCCCCCGCCCTTATACCGTCCGGCGAAATACACCATCGCCGACTCGATTTCGCTCTCTGCTGCTGCTAGTGCTACAGCAAGACTCCCATCCATCTTCTGCATACTTTCACCCATCATCTTGAGTTTGTTCCAACGGCAAGCAGAACGAATCGTCAGGACGCCTTGTTGTGACGCTAGAGAGCGGGCACCAGGTCTGCGGTTGCTGCTGTGCTTTCACGTGCACAGGATGGGAGTTTGCATTATTTTCGTATGGTGTATGTTGTCTATCTCGGCAATACCATGAGGACGAAAAACATCCAGATGAACTCATGGAACCAGGCGCCTCCGAGTTTGAAATGTGTCAGACAAGAAGCGTCTTGACAGACAGCATGTTTCTTTTCTCTGAATGGGAAATTGCACACTTTTTACTGCAATTTTTGGTTGGCTTAGGAAACAGCGTGAGTGTCTCAAGAGATGTCAGACAGAGAATTTTGACTGCTGGCTTTATTTCATACCCACCCACCCCCCAAAAAAAGAAAACCGCCGGCGGAACCTGGTGCGTTCTACTGTCGTCAGTAGAAGCACCTACGGTATATTACAGGAGATAGTCTACACGTGTGTGGTTCAGGTAGTTCCTCAGTAAAAACGGGTTAACGTTTTTCACGGCAAGAAGGAAATGTCGGCAACTGTTGCTCTCATACAATGTAGGCCGGCGGGAAGAATTGACTGAATTTGAAAAGGACTGCACACGTTGACGTAATATGTAAAAGGCGTCATCTTGTGTATTCGGCGGGAAAAGGCGCATCTACTGAATCTCTCGCTCTCTTGCGCACCACGTACTCTCTAGCACGGGAAGCGTTAAACGAGACCCGCGAGTCTCGTTTTAAACACATGACCCCGGGGACAAAACACTACCACCCCCGGGGTATCGTGTAAAAAACGAGACCCCGGGGTCAAAACACAGCCATCCCCGGGGTATCGTTTATTGAACGAGACCCCCCGGGGACATGACACGGCCATCCCCGGGGTTTCCACGCCAGAATTAGTGCTACGATAGGCAGCGGGGAGCAGCTGATGATGGGCGGGGCGCGGCGCCCAGACATCCACTTCGCTGTGTTTTGGAGCGTTGCGGACAGTACCTCAACTGGGTAGGGAGCCTTTGATAGCAGCAAGCAGTGTTGGACTGTGCCCGCGAGGGCAAGGCCGTTGCTACCTGCTGCTCGGGAGTCTTGTCCCAAATACTTATGTGCGATGTAAAAAAAGCCAACGGCCGGTTGCGTGTCGGTTGCGTGCAGCGAGACAGACAGCAGTCCATACATAAAGTAAACAGTGTTGTGGAGCAAGCCTGAGGATGGATGAGGCTTGGACGGCTGGCACCGCCTGCTGATGCTTAGCTCGTGTGTGTGCTGATATTTTGTTCTGCTCCCGTCCGTGTGGTGCACATGGTCTATCGCCCTCGATCTACCTGTTTGGTACCCACACGTACGTCACGTTGCGGCAGCGATTCCGCCGCATGTATTTGTTGGGTGTTGTTGCTGGGATCATGTTTTCGGCGATTCTTCTCCCAGGCACTCTTCCTCGTAGGTGAACCAACGCCACATCATGTCTAGTGCTGCAGGTACCAATTGCCTACCTATGTAGTTTATGTGCGCTCTCTCGCCACATCTCCCTCCGCCTGTGTGTGTGTCCGTGAAGCGGTAAGGCCTACAACTTGATTTGACTGCTACTGTCTCGCTGCACACAACCGGCCGTTGGCTTTTTTTACATCGCACATATAAGTATTTGGGACAAGACTCCCGAGCAGCAGGTAGCAACGGCCTTGCCCTCGCGGGCACAGTCCAACACTGCTTGCTGCTATCAAAGGCTCCCTACCCAGTTGAGGTACTGTCCGCAACGCTCCAAAACACAGCGAAGTGGATGTCTGGGCGCCGCGCCCCGCCCATCATCAGCTGCTGCCCGCTGCCTATCGTAGCACTAATGCTGACGTGGAAACCCCGGGGATGGCCGTGTCATGTCCCCGGGGGGTCTCGTTCAATAAACGATACCCCGGGGATGGCTGTGTTTTGACCCCGGGGTTTCGTTTTTTACACGATACCTCGGCGGTGGTAGTGTTTTGTCCCCGGGGTCATGAGACTCTCTAGCACACGATATCACATCTGCCCCAGACATATCGCTATACACCGGCTCTGTTTTTATCAGCGGCATAAAAAAAATCTCAATCTATTGGAAGTACTTCGAAGTGGACGCGTACACCAGGACATATTGTAGACTGCAACACCAGCAGGTTTTGGAAGGAGAACATGTTGTACGACTAATACTGATCGACCTCCCGAACATTACTACCGGCAACTGACAAACGCGGCGCTAGCCAAAAGAGAACAAGAAGATTGCCCCAGGATTGCAGGGGTTAGGAGGTGTGCTATCGGGCGCATTGGTTGCATCGCCAGAGTGTAGAGGTCGCGGTGCGCAAATGCACAGCAGCAGCAGCCGTCGGATCCGTGCCCCTACAACGGCGGTAGAAACGAAAATTGCCCGCCTTTTTTCAGAAACAAATTATAGTCAGCAGTACAGCAGTAGACATGTTTCGAAGGCGAGAACACGATAGCTGCCGGAACTAGCTGCCTCGGCGGTGCTTGACGTAGACTCTTCATTTGGTCCATCGGTGCGAGGAACTCACCTGCTGGAAATCCGGGGTTTGAGGGCCGCGATCGAACATGCCTGGATCGGGCTCATCCGTCCCCTGCTTGAGCATCGCTGCGCTCACGCCCCTCGATAAGCCGCGATGAGGCCGTCGCTGTCGCTCCCGGCTCGATTGCCGGCGGCTCTTGCTGCCGCCCGTCTTGTCGTCGAAATCCTCTTCGGCGCCGCCTCCGTCGATGACCAGGCCCGGGTTGTTGACAGGAGAGTTGGGGGGTGCAGAGTCGCCAGGCGCCTGCTGCTCCGGCTGCGGCTTCGATGACATCATGTTCTTTTTTTTCATGATGCTCCTGCCGCGGAGGATCCCCATGTGTTACCGCCGAATGAATGTACGAGCGACCTGATGGGACCCGCTACCGGCGCTCAGGGTAATGCGTGGAAGTGAGGGAGGAGTGGTTGCTGTGTGTGCGTGAGCGTGTGCGCGCGAGAGGCCAACCAAGTAAGGTGTGACGTGGGTGGCGGGTCTAATGCAGTTGTGCGCTCACGTCCTCTTTTTTCTCGCCGCCTTCGGAGATTTGAAGAATGAGGTGGATGGGATCTCCGATAAAATGACAGTCCCGACTTGGGTGGGGATGAGTGCACCGCACTGCCGTGCCATCATCTTGCTGCCTGTTCCAACCTGGTCTGCGAACCCTGAGAGAAACAGAGGCGGGGCAAGCACTCTTCGTTGTCGTGTGCAACAGCTGCCGTCGGAGTGAGTCTGTGATGGCGCTTGCTGCTTTGCGCAGCCGTGGGCTGCAAGCTTGCTCTCGCGTGGCGATGCGAGCCGCGATTGCACCCCGGACACAACAGCTCACCCCCACCGCAGGAGCAGCAGGTGAGTTATGTAGATTTCAACCCAACCCTCCGCTTGGCGTATTCCACACTGCTGTGCTCCGTACCTACATTTTCTGGCGTACCCACACCTGTTGTAGCTGGTGCCGGGTTGTCTTTATTGTGGGGGTGTTCCAAGACAGTATGTACAAGACGCTTTGGCACACCTTCGCGGTCTCGACAACGTACTGTAGATTTCTGGATATCTCTTCTCTCGCCGTCGATACTCCATGCGCAAGCTTTTGATCGTAAACGAGCGAAACGGTCCACCTGATTTGATACTGGGCATATATGGGCCTCCACGGAGCGAAGTGCATGTCGTTTAGGCTGTGTGTGAAATGCGCTAGCCGACGATTCTATAACAACTCCAGGTAGATTTATGTTCCGTACAGTTGCCTCCCCCTTCCACGCGGGTGTAATCTCGCCGCATCTGGCGTATTGTAGAGTTCTGTAGTCTACAGCAGTATGCCGCAGGAGGAAAGGCGAAAATTTCCTGATTTTCCTCCTGTGTGACCCCGGTTTGTGCGCCAAACGCAGACCGAAGGGTATATGTACACTGTATGCGACCAAAACAATTGGGACATAAATAGAGTGGGCACAATTCCCTTGTCCAAACAGGGCATCTCATCTCGATGTGTACGCCTTCCCCGCCGTAGTTGTTGCGGCACCGCACGAAAGGGGCTCTGTGTTATGCGAGTTGGCAACAATAGCGTGTGGATTTAATCAAGCAGACCAACAACCACACAAGGAAACCTTAAGGAGCACCGAGAAGGTTGAATAGATGTGCAGACGTGCTCAGAGTGTCTCCTCCTACGGTACCGTCAAGAAGGCGGTCATGGAAAGCTGGAGCCCCACAAATTGGCTACATGGATCCTCTGTGGTGTATCGATGTAAACAAAGGGGTCCGGCATAAAGGACAGCTATGTTAGCACGCCAAGAATGATGGTCGTGTTAGCAGGAGAGGTCTCGATCCAAGGTTTACGTCTTGGAGGGTTGTTGCAAACCCACTATTTATTTACTACCTACTTGTGATACGTGTCCAGTTTGAAACGAGCCGCAAGGTGCAGCAGCAGTGGCCCCCCGCAGTAGCCTTCACAGGATTTTTCTATTAAGTAACCATGTTGGATAAAGCATGCAATCGGGGAAGTTGGGTCAGGGGTAGGGTTAGGGAATACGGTCTGCGTACCCCCTCCCTGTTCTATTTCCTCAACAAACGTAATTTCTCGCGAAGGCGGCCCCGGTACCTGTATGAGGCCGCGTATGTATGCACCGTCGCCCCGTGCAAGGATGGTGAAATCACGTGTCCAGGTTGTCTCGTGCTCTGAACAACAGGCACCGGTAAAAATGACCACCGAAATAAACCCCTTGGCAGCATGCGGGCTTACACAGCGGGGACCACGACTCTGTGCTTCTTGTACATGATACGGGGCCACGGGTACAAGAGGCGCCTGATGCCGGTCGCAGGAGCATCAGTCGCCTGGGATGTCGTGCGGGTGGCACGACTGAAAAGCACCCACGCTCAATGCGTCTGTGCCAGCGTAGTATCGCTGTTGGCGAAGTCCAGTTTCGACGGAGAAGCTCGGAATCATTCCTTGGGACGAAAGCTGACCAATTATACCCCTTTTGCTCACCGCTGGGGCAACACAGATCGTACTTGAGAACTTTCCGCGCCTCCCCCGATGTCTGCTAGGTGCGCGCCGCCTGCTTAGCAGCCCGGCCCCCACCGGCGCTCCATCTCCGACAGCGGCGGCGAAAGGGCAGAGCCAGCTGCACAGGGGCAAGAAGGCGGAAGGGGAAGAGAGGAGGTTGTGGCCCTACATCAAGGCCGCGAGGCAGCAGTTCTTCAACGTCATCCTGGCCACCCTTTCCATCGTGATGGCGGTCAAGATGGTGGAGGGGAAGGTGCGGTGATCAGTTTCGGCGGTCTGTTCTGTGCGACGCACGTGCTGTTTTGGTTGCGGGAATTGTGTAACGAGGGCACTTGGGACGGAGAGGTTGGGGCATCGCTGCCGTATGTAGTTTGTTTGGGTTCAAGATGCGACTGATTCTTGCAGCTATGAATATAATGTCCTATGCACAAAGGCGGGCCAAGTTCTCATCCCCATGGTCGATTTGGTGGTGTGTAATCTACGCCCAGGGCGGCTGCGGTAGGTAGATTTCGGGGAATGAAAACATGAGCATGTACCTCGCCGAGTGCGACTAGAGGCTAGAGGCTAGAGGGTGTGTGCCGTGGCCTTCGTCACCAGGAACGCTTCGTCATTCCCACGGAAGTAACGGTTTTCTCTTCGTTGTAATTTTAATTATTATTTTTTTCTTGATTATGATTCCAGCAACTTGACAATCTTCGACTGCGACCACACACCCTTTGAGTTGCCTTGGGGGGCGTACCGTTCGAAACCACGGGGTAACTTGAAAATCTTCTGCCGCGGCCACGCACCCTTCAAGTTGCCTTGGGGCGCGTAGCTTATAGCTTACCCCCCAAGAAATGATGATGGATGCAAGAGACCAAAGATACAGAGAGCCAGATGTTGGGTGTGTTTGTTCGTTCTTCCCTCCGTTCGAACTTCTACTCCGTTCCTTCGAACAACTACGTACTTGGTCCAACTGATGCATGCGCACATCTTCTTTTGTGGTCACAGGCCGACTACCCCAAAAGGTACGACATGCTACGAAAAGTACCATACATAATTGACGCAATCCCGATAAAAAAAATTATAAACGGAACGAGGAGATGCGGGACAAGAATGGCGAAGGAGGTCAGGCGCGTTAAACAAAAATGTTCTTCTGAAGATCGTCGCTACTTCCTCGCTGTGTTTACGTATAGGGGGCGAGAGTAGCGTTGGAGGAGGAGATGGTCGAGATGCAGCGGCGACAAGGGGTGCTCTTGAGATCGTTGTCGGACGAGGCGTGGGCAGAGGTGAGGGAGATGTGTATGGTAGCCATGGAGAACAGCACGGCAGAGGGCCAAGTCCTGTAGCAGCGTTCGAAAGTGTTGTCACCTCAAAGGGCGCTGAGTGTCGAGGAAATTTTCCAGTAGACCGTTTCGCAGAACGGTATTAATTTTTAAGTGTTTGCGAGCGTCGCCATCTCGACGAGGGCGTGTCCAACGGGTGGCGCTTGAAAAGAAAGTTGTGAGAGCAAGTCACAGAAAGGTCCAGGAAGTGGCGTAGAAGGAGGCAAGAGACACAAGCATGAAGCCCGTTTATTATGCGGTGAAGAACTCATCCTCAACACTCCGCTTCTTTTTTTTTTCTTTTTTTTAATATGACACAACGAATCCATCTCTATCATATTAAAGAGTCTGAGACAGATTGGCAATGAATCCATAGCGTCAGAAAGTACCTGTATGTCTACGATTTCTTTTTGTTTTTCCCGTGTTGGTGGATCCCATGCAATGATGTCACCGTTTGTTTTGCGTTGTGGTTCTTTTTAGAAAATATACATGTACTAAAAAAAAAAACACCTGGTACAAGTATATAATAATGAAGTACTACCATTCGAGAAAAAACCACAGTGGAAGGGGATGTTCTTGTTGTTGTTATTGCTGTCGGAACATTTCTCGGCCCCTGACTTCCTTATCACCAACCCTACACACATTATTTTCTTTCATTTAACGTTTGCAGTCTTATGTTTTTTGCGTGTGTAATGGTTGTGTTGGCTAGGCTTCTTGGTTGCTCGCTCGCCACTCCTCTACTGCTGTTGGAATACATAAGTCACTTTCCTTTTGTTGTTGGTGGTGGTGCTGTTGTTTTGTTCCGGTTGGCATCATGAAGGATGTGGCGAAGCGGCTCGGCGCCGCCGGCGGCAAGGAGGCGGTGATGGTCGAAATCGAAAAAGGTTAGTCAATGCCCCCCCCTAATTGCCACATCGGCTGCATGTGTACCGCTGTCGATTCGTATACAAATCCTTCTTCCCCTCCGTTGGGGTGTTGCACCTACTGTCGGCCGCCCTTAGCACGAGAGCAAAGAACTGGAACACGCCAGTCCTACGTCTACCGACCGTCCTTGTCTGTTTCAAGCCTCATCATTTGCCGAGAGGAGTGTCCTGCCTCCACGGAAGCGGCATATATATGCATATGGGGTTTACTACTAAACGCTGCACCAGATCTACGACACCGATCTCCGGTCGCTCGGAAAAAGTTCCGAAATTGCTTTTAAATTCGGGACGGCGGAGGAACAATTTTTTTCGCACCCACTCAACGGTCTGTTCACTACTACTACCACCTACAAACTGTATTGCTGAAAATGCGTGAATTGGTCTACTCCCCTCTTGCGGGCTGGTTGTTGGAAAATGCCGCACACATATGCCATCACTGAAAGACTTCACGTTCGAAACAATACCACGCGACGTATTCGAAGGGATGTGTTGGAAGATTCTTTGCCTTTTCGCGCGTATCGTTCATCCCGCCTGGACACCTAACAGTTGTGGCGGCGAGCCTCCTCGACAAGGAGACTGCCGAGCTGGAGGCCATGCGCGCCGCCGCGCTAAAGACAAGCCTGGAGCAACAGAAACACGGAGCCCCCTACCCGGGGGGGGTGGGGTCGTTCGCCGACGAACAACCCCGCGAGGCTTCCGCCTCGCCAGTGGCACCAAAACCTGGTGAGCGATGAAACGCGCGTGTTTGTGCGACGCACCGCAGTGTGGACGAGTCGCGTTTTGGGGCTTTTATCGGCGGCGCGAAAGCAACTCGTCCGCCCTACCGTCTTCATCAGGTCCCTGTTGAAGACCGCTATATCCCGAGAGATGTTGACGGCCATATATCCGGCACCCGGCAGTATGAGACAACTTAAATGTTCCATCTGTGATAATCGATTTCACCGGCGTTAAATACGCGGCCTTGAACAGGGACCTCGCTCTGTTGTTGTTGTTGTCTTCACACTAAAAACCGTTCCGATCGCTCTACCCAGTACCTTCATCTGTCCGTACTGGTCTAGTACTTGACGAGGTCGATTCCCGTGGTCACAGGCTATCTTACCCAAAAAAAGTCATACTCAAACAAACTGGACCTCTGCTGCTGTATCCTTAATCAATACATCAGCAACGTTTTCGTCGTCGCCTCTCTGACGACTCGACGTCTCGACTTTGCTTCTCCTCTTGCTGCTTGCCTGCCGCTTCGTTGCGTGCCGTTTTTTGGTTCCTTCTCGTCATCTTTCTTGACAACGTACCTACGGTCCATCCACCACCCGCCGCGTTGATCCAGCACCCTCGAAGGGAATGATGTAATAGTACGCTTTCTCGGGCATACATAACTAAATAGTGATCCTGTTGGTTGCCATGCGACGACTTGAGTAATGGCGGTGGAGAAACGTTGTTGTTTTACTTTTTGGGTGGTTGCAACACGTATAAGTTACAACTCTTTTGTTTTTTTCTGTCTTCGGTGGGGCCGTGGCTGGAGACCCCCTTCGGCGTAAGAAGGGCCGGGGGGGGCGGGGGCGGAGGCAAGGTCTCGGGAAACACGCGAGCAGCTTTTCGACGCAGAGCCACGGGGGTAAGTTGGAAGGGAGCCCAAAGGGACGTTTGACCTGCCACAGCATGACCTGTTCGTACTTCCGTTGTTCGAGGCTCGCTGTTGCGGTAGCCGCCACGTTCTCTTCTGGCACCCCCAAGACAGCTAAGTAGCTGATAAAAACTGAAAATATTAAGCCGTTTGGCGCTTTCTTTCACTTTTTTTTAGTATTTCTCGAGTCGTCCCGCACGCGTTGCGCAGCCGCGCTCGGCTGTGGATTGGGTTTGGGGTTAGCCCTAAACCATGCCGGAGACCGCACACGTTTCAAGGCCGATCGCGGAACACGGCAATGGACCTCGGTTCGCTCGTGGTGCAGTACCTGGTTGCCTCGTGGTATGCTGTACCTTCAAGTTTGAGGGTCTCTTGCCTACCACACATCAGGAGACTTCGCTCTGGGTTTTTTGGGTTCCGAACAGCAGGCGGTTCAGATTGCCCTGTTCATCCAGCCTTGAGAGCTCACCGTTGGGAACCCCATGGTGGTTGGTATCCGCGTCGGAATGCACACCACCTTATCCTACTTAGCCCGATCAAGAGCACACCACCTTGCATGGCACCACGGCGCACTGACCTCACATCAGCCGGTGGTGGTTGGGAGGGTTGAGGCAGTGCATATGGTTCAGACACAAAACAAACCGGGCTGCACAAAAAATGCAATGTCGTAAGGTCGACTCCTCTCGGCAGCCAGTGCAAAAAAATGACTGCTGTTCAGTGTAAAAAAAGTACACACACAGAGAGAGGTACAAATACCAGGAGGTCTGGATGTCCATGTTTGACGGGATGAATGATCCATTTCCCAACAAACCCATCAACGGTGTGGTGGTACGGAAGCGTGGACGGATCTAAAGCTTGGCAGAGACCGCTTTGATTTTTTAACGGGGGCCAATCATACCCTTCCTCTCCCGCCAACATCAGTACAGACACCAAAATCCCCACGAACAAAATTGAACCGATTACTATGCATATTATATCTGCCCCACAACGTGCCTTTGCTCGCTCTAAAGCCCAATCGGGTCATGTCTACGGCACCCCCAGAACCGAAATTTCTCCGATCACACCTCTACCAAAACACAGCGGCACTCGTGAAATAAAGCAGCGCGTCTCCTCTCTTGTTCATGTCTCTATCACGCATCTACCTCAATCGCAGCGCGGGCCCTCGGCAAAGTAGATTGTCCATCGCACTTCGCCTCTCGACAGCCTCGTCCGACTATACACACATCATCCGTCGCACGCCGCCGGCATCACCATCTTGCCAGCGAAATAAGCAAGATAGTCAAGCAGCCTACGCTATTTATCGGCCGAACGCCTGGGGTTGTTTTGTAAGACGACCGACTTGTCTGAATATTCGATTCCGGCACCGTACACCCGGACATGTTGAAAGCAAAAATAGGACACGGGAAGAGGAAAGCAGACTCTACGGCCGCGATTGTCCGAACCAACACTACTACGCTGCTGCAACTTGCGCTGGACAAGGAGCTACAACATGTTAACGACAGAGAGTCTCGTTCTCGCTGTGCCGTTCGAATCCTTACATCCGGGTGGTAACCGAGGGTCGGCTTGACCAACAATGCTTCAGACAACCGCCGTTCAGGAGAAAAAACAAGAAAAACAAGCGGGTCCACATCTAGTAGACTGGGTTGCCTGCACACGGGAGTCCGTCTAATAATCGCGCCGTTATCCGTCCCTCTGGGCTTGTCTCTTGTGCTCTCGAGTGGCGGCAGTCACGTCGCTTAAGGATGCTTCACAAACGTGTATTTTCCCCGACCCCGGCGAACGTCCTTCCTCTAAGCTCCAGAACACACGATCAGGCTTCTTTCTTGCTAAACTCAGGTAAAAGCTGCTACGGCTACATACTTCTGACCGAAAGTAGAGAGAGAGAGAGAGAGAGAGAGATTGGCTAATTTCTTGAACGGAACGTTCCAGAGAAAGGGGAAGCACATCGACTCATTATCTGCTACTGCTGCTTCGAACCCCGCTTTTGCTTCGGAGCAAGGCTTCGACCCCATGCGCTGGTGGTGCTTTTATGGCGAATTTACTACTCCGAGCTCCTCGAGGTCAACCTTCTCCACAGGCTTCGCCGGCAACCACGTTATCTCTGATCGGTCATCGATCCAGTCCAACACCTGCATTCGTAACAATTACACACAGCGTTTTTGCAGCAAGGAACATTTTATCAGTCTTGCCATTACCGGCAAGTATCCGTAAGACTCATCGATACCCAAACAAGCGGCATGTTCTTGCCGCAGGGACAATTTCATTAGGCTCTCTACCAAAAATACATCCCACATCCCGTTCGACTGTGGGTATATCTCGAACGGGTAGTCTTTTCTGTGTGTGTGTAATTATTTTTCCTAATACAAACACATAATTTACGAAACAAATATTCACCATTCGTAATAATCATCGGCTCACAAACACACGGCTTTCTTGAAAAATTAGCATGCAGTCGTGGTACCGGTTTAGCGGTTAGTTGCTTCGTTGTTTAGCTGGGTGCCCTCAATAGGTGTTCCAATATCTCGTGGCACGGGAAGGACCTCGGCAGTCAAAACAACTATATTACTGCCAATCCGGTTGAGCGGGGATGCCCTCAACAGCGGTTATAAAATATTTATTTGACACAATGGACTGTACCAACCCAGAGAGAGTGTACCCGTTTGAGATACAACCACAGCATGCTGCAGTCGAAGGTGACGCTGCGTATTTTTCCTTACACTGGGAGTCGAGGGTTGGCCGTACCCCAACGGCGATTCCTGCCGCCACGGTCCACTGAAGCTCATTCAGAAGGCGGACGGCGGAGACTTTGTGTGAAACGCCATCACCAACTATGTAAGTCAATCTCTCTTCCCTGCTCAAGCCGACCAAACACCACCCGCACGGTTGTAGACTTGCTACCACTTGCTGATGTACTCACCATTTCTCGCTCTAGCTGCGCCTCGATCTTGTCCTGAGCCTTGGCCTCGTCGAACTCCTGGCCCTTAGCCTGGGCCCTCAGAAGGTCCATCTGGTCGTCCACGTCGCTCTTCTCGTACTGCATGTTGACGTGTGTGTAATTGATAGCATTGAACGCGATAAACCGGCTGACCAATGAAGAGATGCCAGTCTCAGTGCGGTTGAAAACATAAAATGCTTCTACAGTAGAGGCCACGATCTGGGACCCCGTCAGGGGGGGTCAGTGTGTGTGTGTTTACTAGCATCGACCACGATGAACTCGCTGAACAACAATACACCAGTCTCAGCGCGACTAAATGAACAGGAAATGGATGTGCATGTATGTGGCATACCGGTACAGCCAAAGCGAAATAAGACACCAGAAGAAGAACTAAAAAAATGGGGGGAGGGCTATAAATCAATTTTAGGTTCCCGTGGCATGAAGTATAATATAAGTGAGGTGCGGAACAACAACAAAAAATGCGAGCGCCTGCGCGTCGTCTACCAACCACGGGAATATCGAGGGTGAGCAACACTCCCAACTACGTTCGACCGCGCACACACAAAGAAAAAACAAAAACCAACACCATTCACGGATATCGAACGGCGAAGAGAAACTCATGCTCCGTCCATACGCGGAATTCCAAATAGCACGTTGTGGACTTGGCAAAAAAAAATGGCGTAACATGTTTCACTATTTCTTTGGAATATTAGTATAATAGTGCTAACAGAGGCTGAAAAGGCTGCGCGGACGAAATCACAAAACGAACACTACGCCAATCCGAACATAACCGCAAACAGAATACAAAAACCGGGAATGGGACGAACCACAAGGCCCTCCTTCTCAGCAAGGGACACTACACCAAACCGGATTTGACCACAAACCCATGACTGCAAATGGGACGTCACGGAAGGCGCTCCTTCTCGGCACGGAACACCACGCCAAACCGGAAATAACCACAAAAACCATGACTGGACATGGAACGTACCGAAAGGCCCTCCTTCTCGGCGATGTGGGTGAACATGAGGCTCAGAGTCAGGCCTCGGGTGACGTTTTTCCTCACCACCTCCACGTACTTGACGAAGTTCTGCAGTTCGGGACAAACATAAAAAAACAACCATGGTTCATGATGTTGTTGTCTTCACATTAAAAAACATTCCGTTCTCTCTTCTCAGTACCTTCTTCTGTCCGTACTAGTCTTACACGGATAAAAGAGGGGAGGCGACAGCAGGATAACATACAGCAGGATGCATCGCCTCTGAGATGAGGGGTGAGCATGAATAACACGCAAATAAAACAAAAAATCGCGGGGTGGAGGCTCATTTCCGACCTACGAAATCTACAAAATAATCTACTATTCCCCATGTGCCGCCCACCCCCCGTGACAGGTGCGGACGCAAGCATGTCGACGTGCAACAACAGCACAAGAGTCAGAAAACTATTCCGGAAGACAAGCAAGGTTAAGCAGCGATCCCTACCCGGCAAGTCACACGTGTTGCTGTACCGTCTCAAGTATCCCGCCGACCCTGTTGTTGTCGTCACACCCAAACCCCCTTCCGGCCTCTGCTCAGCACCTTCCAACACGAAAATCGAGTTTGAATTCTTGATTTTGATCCGTCGAACCTCACTATTACTACTTACCCAGCCTAAAATACAAGAGCAAATACGAAAAAAAAAAAATAAAACAACGAAATGAAAAGAAGCCAGAACCAACCTCCTTCGTGATCATGCTCTGGATCTTTGCGTCCGACTCCCCCTGGTCCTTAAACTCGGTCATCATAATGGCGAACTTCTCGCGGGCCTGCTCCACGATCAACGTCTCCGGGATGGTAATCGAGCACGTCTCCAGGAGAGCTTCTTCGTAGGCCCTGAAGATTTTTATTTAACACAACACAAAAATAAAAATTACAGACGAGGAGACGAACAACAACAGAGAATGACAGAAAGGGGGGGGGGGGTGTTAGAGTGAAGCAGGCGTGATGCAACATGGAACGCCAGACAGAGACAGAAGGGAACGAGCGCTAAGCAGCCGCGGTGGTTGACATGGGGTAAGAATGTGAAAGAAGAACATGCTCGCACAGACAGATGGCACCACCGTTGGCCTGGAAGGTAAAAGTGACGGGGAACGCGTGCGTGATCGGTTGATCTATCAAGATCAGATTGATTGAATCCTTCTCCTCAACCAACAGAGAAACAGGGGTACAACACAACACTCGCAGGGCAAGCTCTTCCTCTCTCTCTCTCTCTCGACAAGCCATTGGCAGCCTTGTAGTTTTGAAGCAAGAACAATCGAGCTTTAGAATCGATGGCATACGTGCGCGCGTCTACGCCGCACTCTCAAGTACACTACGTGAATCCGCTCAACCAATCCACATGTAGAAACGAGGGCTTGGGAGCTCCCTAGTATCGGCATGTCACGCTGTAACAAATCAAAAGATCCTTCTAAAAATGGTTGAGTTCTCTGGTACCAGCTTCACAAACAAGTACGCACTTGTTTCGGGTGTCCCTCTTGGATGTCCCGGTCTCCTCCATGACCGCCTTTTCCACCTCCGTCGTCAGTTCTTCTAGAGTCAGGCCCTCGCGGATGCTCTGCGCGAACTCCTCGTTCACCTCCGGCACATTGCGTTTCTGCAACAACAACAAAAAAAACATGACGATTGAAGGTCAAGATAAGACCACCGCCTTGGTGAGAGATTTCCTTAAAAAAAAAAAAAAAGAGACGAGGGTGACTGATTCGCGTTTCTGCAACAATTTGAAAAAAAAAGGCGACGACCAACGTTTGAGGCCAAGAAACGACAGACGGCAGTGGTAGAATAATGGGAAAAGACCGGTGTGACTAGATATAGCTTGTTCGGTGTTGTGATCACTTTGCTGGCCTAGTCTACCCAGCTGCTTGCATCTGACATTGTAGCAGAAAGGAATCGCACCCGAGGGCGAAGCTGCTGAAGGGTGAACATGATCTGTCTGTCTGCCTGTCTCACAACATGCAAAAAATCTTTCAGGACACACCCTACAACGACAAAGATGCAGCCGTGCACGCTCATCTCTCTCGCTCGCCAGCGACCAGCCATACAGTAGCCGTTTCAAGGAGATCAGAGACAGAGAGGAGATATGTGAGAGTGCGGCTTTGACGACGGCGAACCTTGAACGTTACGTCAAAATGACCGTGACCTCGTCGGGTCCAACGAAACAGCAACATCAAAAACACCAGAAAGTAAACGCGCACGAGAGCTACAGTAACAAACGAAAACTCATCCGGTGTCGGTTCACCTGAAACCTCCACCGTTTATTTCCACCTCCAAGATACCACAGACAGTCACAAGGCGAGCTACGCTACACAAACGACCGTTAACGCTCTTCGTCCGTCCGGTGGTGTGGTGCTGGGGGTGGTCTCACCATAACCTCGACGGCTTCCACCTCAAAGACGGCCTTAGTCCCCTCGAGGTCGCCCCCCTGGGGTCCCAGCTTGTCCGGAAAGGTGATCCTGATCTCCCTAGTCTCCCCCGCCTTCACTCCTTCCATGCCCTCCGCCAGACCGGGCATGTACCTTCGTCAGACAGACATAAGGGGGATGTACCTTGTTCAGATACATTGCGAGGAATGAACATTTTTCCTTTTTCAGAAAAACGTAAAATTTGCACCTAATCGAGGCGGCACCTATTTTTAGGCATATATTGTAGTACGAGGAATGTACCTTATTGAGACATACACACGACAAGAGCTGATTTGAGGGCGAGGCTAAAAGACACATCAACATGTCGTTGGAGGCAGAAGAATGCTCAAACGCGATACCCAAACACACGTTCTTCCTTCCTGATAAATAACAGACGCACGACACGAGACGGATTGAACGCGAGGCACATCAACACACGACACCGACGTGACGAAAAGCGGCAAACTTAAATGCGAACACTATATTTCAACACTGCCGCTAGCTCACTTCTTCCCCATGCCCTATGCTCTACCTGCCAGACTCGAGGACGATGTCAACACCATCCCCGGACGCGATGTTGGGCAGCTGTTCCCCCTTCGACCCGTCCGCGTTCTCTCGGAAGGGCATCATGTTGGCGATAACCTGAGCGTGTGCGGTGTTCATGCAAGGTCGTGGTTGACGCCGCACGTGCGCGTTCGATACAAGCAAGCAAGGCTACACCGTGAAGATCAAACACACCACCGTATATGATGTGTACAGGACCTCGATACAACATGGCGGTGGCCCTGCTACGATATCGATATGAAATGAGGTGACAAAATAAGATGGTCGACGGCCGGTGTCACACTACACCACACCACACTCTAATGTTGGGAGCACGACTATGCAAGATAACACAACCCATACACACAATACCACACCCGGTGTTAAATAACGGGTCAGCATGAGCCCAAACTGGAAACGGAAATCTGGCGCTTGGTTCACGCTGAGCGAAAGCCGAGTGATGGTATCATGGTTGATGCTCTCAGACCAAGAAATAGGGCGACACACGATACCACACGGCCCACACAACAAACACTCCCGGTGACGTATTTCCACACCAGTACATTGTTGTTGTTTTCTTCACACCAAACTCGTGTCAGTTGATAATCCCAAAACCTAGCGAAGACTCGGTCCGTGGCCATCAGAGGATCTAAACTAAAGAACACGCACACTTGAGCAAGAAAAGGGCACACAACATTGGAAGCAACAAAAAAATTACGAAAGGTTCTCCCACGTTCTCAACCGCATGGTATTTCTCCCACATTCTCAACCGCATGGTATTGCATTCACATCATCAAAGTTCGCGTCTGCTCCTGCTGTAAACAGCGGGCCTGTTTGTTCTCTCTCTCCTCACCGAGTCGCCGAGCTGTGCGGCGTAACCTTCTTCCGTGTCCTCCAGCACCACATTACGCTCTTGGAGACCCTTCCACGCAGCCGCCACGCTGGCAAATAATGACACAGACACACGAGTACAGCAGGTTAGTCAGAACCATTTCGAACAAGAGGGGGTAGGTGATGGACGGTCAGAGACGAAAACGAGCGACCTAGGGTCATCGTCCCAAGGGGTATCTCGATCGGGTTGGATTGGATCGGCACGAGGACGTGATGAGAGGCATCACACCAGTTGTATTATTCGCACAGCACCGCTGCACACGCGACGACGGGAATAAGTAGTTTCAGCCAGCAGACTCGATCCTACTCGGTCGTTTCGGGCAGAACGAGGACGTCTCATCTATATCATGTCCGAAGATACCACGACGGCAGCACAGTAAGTGGCAAAGGCAGTGATGCGATGGCGTAATGCACTAGTCACGTGTCACCAGGGCTCCTTAAGAGCGAGAAGGACGTTCAGGTCCAAATCACATGCGCCTGACACACAAAAAAGCGATCGGTATACATGTATGTCCAAGGGAAAACAGCACTTGCAGTTGCTAAACGTCAAAAAACGGCGCATGCGTCCCCATGCTATCTGCACATAACAACTTGGTTCGGGAATCTCCGCGCGGTATTTCAAAACTCTAACCCTCGGGAATCCCGACAATCCAGTCAAAAACCCAGGAATCTCGAGTTTAAAATACGTCAAGTGGGGGAACAGAAGGGCTTAACGGTGGGGTCTTGGCCGGCGATTTTCTATCAAGTTGTCAAGCACAGACTTGCGGGTCCATTTAAGGTAGCTAAGTCAGAGGAGGCGGCAGTCACCGAAACTCAACTCCGACATCGCCGGCGTGCGCTGCGGTGAGTGCCACCTCCGCCGCCGGAGCTACCTTATCGAGGCCCTCAAGTCTATGCTCGACAACATCAAAGAGAATCGCCAGCAAGTACCACCTTCAAGCCCTTCTGTTCTGTTACCTCGCTAAGAAGGTCAACTGGAAGATACTTGTCCATCATACTGAAAGGCACGAAGCGGCGACTGCGACAGGCGCGGGGAACCCACAGGCAAGGCTCAATCACTTCCGATGCCTGCTCGGTCGTCCGCGGCGGTCGCTAGCCTCTTCGAAGTCGAGACGAGCGATCACGACGGCACCCCTTCGGAATATGAATTCCACAATAGTGTATCTACCGGTGGTGTTTTTCCGGGTTTGTACCCTACAGAACAGTATGGAGGAGTTCTGTGACACTCTCGATACCCTGCGGGACACTTCTGTGAGTTCTGTGGCACTTCCAATACCCTACAGAAAACGTCCATGAGTCCTGGGCAACGACATCCGGGGTCCTGCGAGGACTCGTCTTTCATCGACCATCGAGACCAAGTCGACACGTCCGTCTACGACCCGTTCTTCAGGATATACTTCAGGAGGTGGGTCGAAAGCAATGTACTTCGTATATTCAGAATGGCACCGAAAAGCGAAAGCAACGGAGAGAGGGGACCGGCAGAATGTACCAACACCACCAGGTAAGAAAACACAAACATAAAACACAAACCGAGAGTTGCCAGTATGCTGCAACACGGGAGTGAATGTCACCGGACTTGGCCAAGCAAGCTACCCACGCGGCTAGGGGGAGCTCTGGTTTCCGACTAGCAACATACAACGAAGGTGATAACTGTACCTACCGTGGCTCGTCGATCGGCGGCTCCTCCACTTCCAGCTCGAACCCCGTGTATTCCTTCACGATGTTTACCTCCGGCCACACGTCCATCTGACAAAACAAAATCAAGTTGAGGGTTTGATACACTGCTCGGCGATAGCACGGCCGTGAGAGAAACGTTCTTTGCCCGCGTGTTTCCGCACATCAGATCATGGGCTTCGATTAATAGTTGTGTACAGCTCACCATCAAATATGAGCGGATGGAAGATGTCCTACAGATCACCTACCACCTACATGATGTCACTGTTTGGAAACATACGACCATTCGGATACAACTGTGACTGATTATCACAATGGTCCATAAATTTCCAAGCAGAGAGGCAAAGCTACTCACGCGGGACGTAAACACCATGAAACAACAGAGCTACTGTGCTGTTTCGGCCGAGCTTTAGAAGCCGAAATCACACCATTAGACTAGTCAGCCGAACCCACGACTAGCTTTTATAGAAGCCGAAATCAAACCATTAGACTAGTCAGCGCTGACTGTAGTCTAATGGTTTGATTTCGGCTTCTATAGAGCTGAAGGGGGTCTGAACTATCGGTATATGGACACCCCAGGTCGCACAATCTCGTGAGCATTGCGACTGCGCCACATGCAACGGCGCCGTCATCAACGAGTGCTCGAGACACGACGATCACAAATAAGGGAGCTTCAGCGATGATATGTCGGCACGATGCGGTCGCACCACGGCCACCGACAACAACCAAGACTGGGGACGTAGACCAGATAATAAGAGGGATTTTTGTGCTTGTCCCCATCCTCCCTGAAACCGTAGCCGCTACTGACTGTACCGATAAGACCACCACAAAAGCAGCAGCAGCAGCAGCAGCAGCTGTACGCCGATTTCATGAGTAGGGACAAAAGATTATCAAGAAATTGTATTGCAAAATACGTCAATCTACGACCCCCCGCCCCCGCCCCCGATGAGTAGACCGCAACGCCTCCATCGACGTCAGAAGACGCCGCAAGCACTAACGCGGAACGCTTCAAAAACGTACGTACGGCTCCTGAACAATCAGCATGTACAGTATGTACACCAGCCCCGGAGGCAGAGAACACCAAACAGACAAACACACCCACAAGAACGTCCAAGGCTACCAGCACCTCTCACCTTAACCTCCAGCATCATCGGTACCCCCGGCGTGAACAGCTGCGTGACTACCGAGATGTCCTGGACCAGCTCGGCGCTGCCGATAGCCTGCAGGTCCAAGCTGTTGATCGCCTGGGTACCCCCACGTTAGGTATCAACACGCCAAGGTTAAGGGGTTGAGTTTGTTGCAATCGGTAATAACTCGGCCTAAGGTCATCGGATGCAACAATTATGTTGACCGCCTGATTTCCCATGGTGAACATCGCCTACACAAGCGACGGAAATGGTAGGGTCGATTACGGTAAGCTCAGAACTTAGCTGAAGGTCATCAGAGTTTAGGGTTCGGGCTAGACCTAACTTCGAAAATTAAACATTGCCGAAACGATCGGGGTGGTTACCACAAGCTCAGAGCTCAGCTTGAGGTCATCAGATGGAAGTATTCACACATCCAAGTTGTTGATGGCCTGATTATCCAACCATTGTTTGGCCAACAACTGCAGCTGAGCGGAGCGCGCACCACACGTGGACCAACGCAGTGGTGAATGGGTTGAACACAAGGTTGGCAGCCACAGCAACTACGACGTAGGACAAACACCCTGAAAATAGACGTACATACCTCGTTGACAACAAGCTCGGAGATAACCTTGAGCGACTGGCCCTTGACCTCCTCCATGCCGAAGTGTCTCTCAATCACCTGATCGGTGACACAGGAAAAAATCAAGATGAACATATCGCAACAAAAAAAATGCAGGGGGTACGCGAGGTGATGCGGGGGAGAGAGGAGGAGGTGGGGGGGGGGGGCGTAGAATATGTTTTTCAGGTTTGGGGAGTACATATCGCAACAAAAATAATGCAGGAGGGGGGGGGGGGGGGGCGAAGCGGCCGACGAGTGCGATGGACAAACACCAGCAAAGGCACACGACGGTATGCGCTTGCCTACAGCCTACAAAAGCACAAAAACCTTTCGCAAACCATCATCTACATGGTGTGTCTTAAAGCTTCAGCCCCAATAAATACTTCGTCACAGCAGTCATTGTTTCGAAGCAGCACACAAGACCACGCCCCCCGCTGTAGCCGAAGGAACCAAACCAAAGTCGGGGAGTGCTGCAGGACAGGCACGGACTTTGTAAGCACCGAAATCGCCAAAAAGAAACGCGGTAGCTCCCGACGACCCCGTGATTCATTCAAAAACTAACCCCCCATTCTCAATATTGACCCCGTCCCTCTTTCCCCGGTTGTGTTGGGACATGAGACACGATTCAGAGCTTGGGGGAATAGGAGTAGGGGCATCAAGCACCGCCTTGGAGATGGTCAAAAGCCAAGTCTACCACACACACACTAGAAATATTTGTAGGGAGTCCCAACAAATATATCTACAAGTCGGCTCGGACTGACGTGCAAATGTCGATAACGCTCACCGCCCCCGGGAGGACTAAAGCGGGCGCCGTTATCCCCCCAAAGAAGGGAGAACAACAATGCCAAATGTTTCTTCTTCACAGCCGGCAACGCGCCCACACAAAAAAACAAAAAACAACCAAACGGAAAAAGCACGCACATTTGTGCTGCAAAAATGGGCTACCTAGCGCACCCCCACGACATACAGCAGCTCAACAAAGCAAGGTCGGCTCGGACTGACGTGCAAATGTCGATGACGCTCACCGCCCCCACGAGGACTAAAGCGTGCGCCGTTGTTCCCCCAAAGAAGGCAGAACAACAACGCCATTATTTTCTTCTTCACCGCCGCGCAATAAACAAATCACAAAAAGCTCAAAAATGAGAGCACTGACACCGGGACATGACTGCTGACGAAATCACCACGTAGAGCGTAGTGCAACACAGCAAAGTCGGCTCGGACTGACGTGCAAATTGTCGATAACGCTCATCGCCCCCACGAGGACTAAAACAGGCGCCAGTCTCCCCTCCCGAAGGAGGACAAACAACGCCAATTTTTTCTTCTTCACCGCCGCGAAATAAACAAATCACAAAAAGCAAAAAAAACGAGAACACTGACACTTGGGCATGACTGCTGACGAAATCACCACGTAGGGCAACGGAGCAAAGTCGGCTCGGACTGACGTGCAAATGTCGATAACGCTCATCGCCCCCACGAGGGCTAAAGCGGGCGCCAGTCTCCCCTCCCAAAGGAGGACAAACAACGCCAAATTTTTCTTCCTCATTGCCGCTCACAGCACTCACTACCTAGGGATGTATGGCACACGGTACACACATACTTTCGCCGGTCTACCGCTGACGGCCGTACTACGTACCTCTAACTGGAGGTCGGTACCTCTGCGACTGAACCGCAACCACCCGAAGATACACCCCCCCAAAAAACATGCGACTCGAGGAATACCTCACGGTGCTTCGCGCTTGGTGATGTGAGAGCCTGGTCCGGTGAGAACCCGGCGTGCTCCGTCCCGGCTTTGAAGGGATGCGAGGTCAATGGTCTATGTAACGACTACGGCATGGACAACTATGAGTACCCCCCCCCCCCCGGGTGTTCTTGCCCCCATGAAATACATGTAGAACAACAGTAGGGCGCGCCGCCGGGGAGCCGCAGTCGGTACTCATCTGCGGTGCCCCGGATCGACATCACCATCTGCTGTAATACCGCAAGCTCAAACTACATGCAGCAGCAACGCCAGAGTAAAGCCGACATCTTGTGATTCAGACGGAGGGATAAAACCGTCGCAGGAGGAGGCGTTCTGTCTGACGCACCTCGGGGCGTCCTCATGTTTTGCATGCCTTTGAAGTATTCCGACCAATGACCAAGCGTCATCGAGAGAACGGCCAACTGCTGTTCCCACAGGACCTATCACCGATGGCCAAACGTCCCCTATTACATGATAACTTGCGAGAGGTTGCTCAAAATATGACGCACCTCGGGGGGGTGCTTGGTGTTGCCCTTGTTACCCTTGTTGCCGAAGCCGGGGATGGAGTTACCGGCCTCCTTGGACAGGGCTCGAATAGCCTTGTCGTAGCAGAGCTGATCAGCGACACGATAACAAGACCGCGAGGGGTGGGTGGGTGGGGGAAATGAACGACAGTGGTGACGTTCGAATCACGGGGGGTTAGGGGAACACAACTGAAAGAACAGAAACACCCGGCGTTCGGGGGCTCCGTAGGAGGAAAGCAACAAAACGATGGAGCGATTCAGTAACGAATGACAGAATGTTAGCTACGGGCAGCACGAGACGAGGAGTAGGACACAACGGACAAAAAAATGACGCAAAGAGGATAAATAGCCGACAATGCTCAACCTCGGTGGCGACGCGCTCGTTTAGTGTGTTTGTCCTCTCAACCTTCGGACCATACGATTACACGCCTCACGACCATCAAACACAAACTTTTTTTTTACAAATGTAGCGCGCACTAACAGTAAAGGTATGCCTACTTACGTTCCTGTTTGCGGTGAACCCTCATATTCAAGTACAAATGCTTGTATCCACACCGTGTGTTCGGAACAGATCTTGGTTTTGTAAAAGTAATCACAGGGTCATCACCACACGCAAACCAACAAAGTGACTGAAATACCAAACGGCGACGAATGCGCCTGCTTGGGCACGCTACATCGCCAGAGGAGCTGGGTCGTTCCCCTTCCCACCCCACTGTCTACAATGATCAACACCGTCCCAACTGTACAGTCCGTGTCCGTATGCGCTTGCGCTTGCGATACGTGCGACCCTGCTACAACTACAAAAGTGAGGCCCCGCAACCTTCGTCAGTCTCTTGCGTAAAAGCTGCGGTACATCTGTCGCTGACTTAAACTGACTTGCGGACCCTTGGGGTACATTTTATTTGAGTATACCTCTTTTGGGTAAGTTAGCCTGTGACCACGGGAATCGCTCTGTCAAGTGTTTGATCAGTACGGACAGATGAAGGTACTGGGTAGAGAGATGGGAACGGTTTTTTGACGTTAACAAAACAACAACAACAACAACAACAACATCGTTCAGTGTGTGTGGCCCTCATTCTTTTAAGTACAAATGCTTGTATCCACACCGTTGTATTCGGAACAGATCTTGGTTTTCTAGAGGTAATCACGGGGCCACCCAATCACAGAGAGAGAGACAGACCAGGCCATCGCCAACTTACACATCCACCTGGCCCGCTCGCAAGACGAGACAAAAAATAGGTACAATGGCAAAACACACACACACAGGATAGGGTGGCGGTGTCTACGAATGCACCAATAAGAAGTACAGACAAAGGTACTCCCCACACAGGTCTTCGTCAGTTCCCGCATGCATCCGGGGTGTGAACGAACCAAACACTTGGCATCACCTGTGTCGTCTCCCCCGGCACGTCGAGGTTAAGGATGATGGAGCTATTGGCCGCCGGCTTGTGCGTCACTTCGTAGGCGAGGGGCTTCGCGAACAGCGGGCCGACTCGCTGCTTCTGCGGTAACGGATTTGGCAGGACCGAGAGATCGATGTCAAAGGAAGAGGAATTGGAGTTAAATCCCCGGGCAGGTACGGACATTAGAAGGTACTGAGTGGAGACCGGAACGGGTTTTTAACGTGAAGACAACAACAACAACAACAACAACAACAACAACGCGGGGGGCGGGGGGGCGGGGGGGGAGTGCCAGTGGCACAAGAGCCGAATACTTGAATTATGTAGAAAAGTATGTAACGCTCATTCCGGCAGAAGGCTTTTGCAAGGAGACAATTCCCCACAGGGAGACGCATGACGAACATAACCAAGTGTTCAAGATCGTATCTAACGAACAGAGGCCGGCGATGATTCCTGGGAGAGATGGTCACCCACCAGCGACACGTACACGCACGCAGCCACCTACTGCTCACATGAGGCAAAAGCATCAGCCATAAGGATTTCGTACAAAGATTCGACAGGACCGCAACTGCTATTGAAAGCTTGCCGGCTCCATGCACACATACGAAGGAGAAATGTAGCTCAAAACACGCCGCAGAATTGTGGGGTTACGAGCCACACCGCCCGTGTTGTCGATACAGCAAGAAGTGCACACAGAAAGCAAAAAAAGCCCGCTCCTTCCCAACAATCGCCGGGGTGATTCGGTCGTACCTGGGTGTTCGAAGTGGCGGCTGCTGGCACCGATGCCGGTGCTCGGATCACGGAGGAGCCGGGGTTGGGCCGCACAACGAACGCGACCAGGGCCGCTGGCGCGCAGAGGGCCATCATCGTTCGCAACGGTGGAGCCATTGTTGTAGTTGTCGTTTTTCCGCCTCTGGAAGTAGGCAGAAGGCAGCCATCAAAAGGGCGGTCGTGGCAGCGGCGGTGACAGAATCGTTGGGTGGGGTGTTGCGCTGGCGGGCAGGCAGAATTTGGTGATTTTGGCCACATCAGATACACGTGGATCGGCAACGCTGGCATTGGCATGCACATGATGCTTTCATGTCGTTGGTGTGTTGTTGTTGCTGTTCCCCGCCAACACTGCATGCTGTGGGATGAGAGATTCGTCGAGGTGCACCAAAGGCGGCCGTAGCCAGCGGCACGAGGCCCACTGGCCATCAATCAAGGGCAAACCGGAAGGCCACAGATAAACAACGTGCAACTTCTGGCAGCAGCTGCTGCAGCAACTCTCCTACAAACACTCCTGTTGTTGCTTCAACCACCGCCGCACAGCGGAGCATGCATGTGCTGAGAAACCATCCTACCACAGCAGTCATCCGTTGACTTCCATCCCTCTTTTCCAAAACACCAACCACTGATGGAACGAACTCAACCCTGACTTTTACCCATGGATCAGGGACCCGCCCCTCTCGAGCTTTCCTCTCACCTCTCACTCTGTCACAAGTGAAGCACAGCACTACCATGCACGGGGTGAGGCATGACGAGCACGTGGCGCGTCAGGGGCACCGCGGAATCCAGGGGCTCCGTGTGTCACGCAGTCAAATCGAGGTTCCGCCGCCTTTCTCACCTCCGCCCACGGCCCACTGCCTTCGCTAGCATGCAACACAGGCAGGTGAGCGTGCTCGAGGACAGCAGCACTCAGTGACAACACACTCCCACATGAAGCGGAGGCAACCGAACAGGCCAACCGCCGTGATTCTCGGGGCGATGTCTTTCCTGGGGCGCTGCCGCGCCCTGTCCGTCGCCACCGGCCCTACGACCTCGGCTGCTGCTGCTGCGGCTGCGGTTGTACGGCCCGTGTTGACCTCAACAGGTCGACGATCTGGCGCCCTAGGCTTTTGCCCCGCCGCCCAGCACTACCGAAACTCCCGGTGGGCGTCGCCGTCATCCCCCCCAGTCTCTTTGCTCCACTCGTCTGCTTCCTCCTGCTCGTTCGCGAGGACGAGCGGGGCGTTGGGAGTGGCGGCCGCGGCGGCATCGCCGAGTCGCCGCCGGAGGCGCACGGCTCTGGGCATGGTGTCGGACCGGCCCTTCCGGGGGCCTGAGGCTGACGTAATCGAGGAGATGGACTTCACGGGCCTGGGACTTCTGGATGACCTGGTCGATGCCATGGAGGAGTTTGGTGAGGAGGTGTGGGTCATGTTTGCTTGTAGTTGCAGTTTGATTTGTTGGAAGTACTGAAAGTGAGAACGGAATATGGCAGCGAGGAGGGCGAGCGAGGGGGGATGCACGAAGCTGTTCGGCACCGTGAAGCTTGTCGATAGTTGCTGGTGGTGGCTCCCAATGGTGACTCCGCGGGGTGTTTTCGTTATTGTCTTCAGTTAGCCGCTGAAAGAGAGCATGTCCCCAACTGATAAAACGGGCTTTTGCCTTCGTCTAAACCTGGCTCCTTCCCAGCAACAGCCAAGTCTAACTTCGGACATGTACTGCTGTAGATACCCAAGAGCGCTGGGCGCGGGTTCTAGGGAAGTTACCAGCACGTCACCGGCAATCACGCTTCTGCCCTTCTTGCAATAGAAATATGTCTCGCAATGGATGCTCCTCGAGGGTGCACTCTTCCCGTTTTGGTGGAAAGCCATGGGTATTGCTGCTTTCCAGCCGATTTTGGTGGAACCCCGTGGTAGCGCTTTCCAGCGGCAACGATTGCCGTGCACATGAGGTCGGCTACGGCTGTGTGCCTCACGGAATCGTTTGGTGGTAGATATAGATGACGATGGACGTCTCCTTTTCTTTTTGTCGGGCGCACGCTCAAGAATGTGCCCCGGCTATGACCTCCCTCGGTGTCATGGAAGAAACGCCAGGCGCAACAAGGCTAAAACTTTCGCCACCCGCAGCGGCACACCCGTTGCTCTTGCCGTTCATCTCCGCTGCTGTTATCTGTCCTTTCCCACCCGACCACCTCTCCAACCTCGTATTTTTCCCTTCCCTCGTGGGCCTTCGTGGGAACATACTTGTTCGTGGCGAAAATCAACAGGGTTCGACAGCCCTAGCAAGATCCAAAGGAAAGCCATCCCGCAGATCTTGAACGGCGGGAACATCGTCTTCGCAGCTTCCACCGGCTCGGGCAAGACCTTGGCCTACCTGATGCCCCTCATCCAGCAGCTGAAGGTGGAGGAGGTACGTCAAAGGCGGGATAGGAGGGAGTAGGGTGTGCTGGAGCCCTTAAAGGAGAGTGTCTCCACAGACTCAGTATACGCGTGCTGGGTCTCATGACAGAACGTGGCATGTTTGCATCGGTCCAACTACGTTTGATGCGGATGACAAGATATAGATGCTTGACGTCCCGAGTATACCTTTCTTATTTTTTTCATTCCGCATGTATCGGTTGAATGCACGCATCGCTGGGGGCTGGTGTTTATGTCCCACCTACTCTCATGTTTAAATCCAACGGTTGTTCTCTGTGCGCAAGAAGCGGAGGGCTGGAAGGGTAGCCCCCTCCATGTGGAACACATACACACATCATGCTGCCCTTCGTTACGATCCCCATGCGCACGGGTTTGTCCTACCACGCGAAGGAGGACAACCCCATCAGCAACCGCACCACATTCCTCATGCCTACACGAGCCCTATCCAACCCGCCCCCGCCCCCACACAACACTTGATAGGATTGAGTCTTTTTGTTGTACTTCACCATCAGGGCACTGTCGTCCAACTCCTGCGCCCCCCCTGCCGGTAGCACCGTGATCGTGTTATTCAACGGGGGGTTTTCGGCTACAAGACTGGCTTATTTTCATTGGTCAGCAGGTTATCGCTTATTGAAAGTTTTGGTGTCTCATGGTTCGGCTACAAAACTGACGTCTTTTCATTGTTGGCGCGGTCGATGCCAATAATAATACTAACACACGAACCCCACGGACCCCAAAAAACAGGCGCAAGCGGAGGAGGGCGGCGAGTCGATTCGCCAGACCAAGCGGCCGAGAGCCATCGTGCTTGTCCCGACGAGGGAGCTGGCCATGCAGGTGCTGGAGGTGGCGAAGCGGCTGTCCCGCTCTTGCAAGTTCTCGTCGTGCGGGGTGGTCGGGGGGGAGGACTACGGCAAGCAGAGGCAGAGGCTCGCCGGCACCGTTGACATCGTCGTCGGCACTCCAGGTGTGTTGGCCAACGTTTTCTTTGTATAGCTTCCTTTTTTTTAGGAAACATCTTTTTTTTTGTTTTGGATGTCCCCTGTGGAGGCACAGCTGTTTCGCTTCCTGTTTTATCTCCCCTGTGGAGACTCTTCTCGAAAGGGGCCGGTGGTTGAGAAAGGCCTTCATAAAGGGTACAGCTGTATCCCCAAAGTCAGTCGAGGACGACTTCCCTGCCTGCGTATTTTTTTTTGAGCGTCCTATTTTTTTCGTCGCTGACAGCAGTAGTGCTATAATAGTGGTCTCTTTGCCCTCTATATTTCTGCGGCCGGCCCCGCAATACTTAAGTCATCCAGGGTCCGGCGGCAGTAGAAGGATGGGTTCCTGTCTGTGAGCCCCCCTCCCCGAGTTGTTCCCCGCCGCTGTGTTTGCTTGCCTTCCATTTTTGCAGTCTTGCCGCATGCACGATGTGATGGTAAGCATGAGGTGAGGTGTTGATCGGGGGGTAGGAAGGAAAACATGGAGGGGGAAAGGGGTGCAGACATCGTAGAGTGCCGTAACACGATACGTCGTTTGTGCAGCATTGTTTTTTCTACGTGCCGAAGTGCGCTCCGTGTTGCCTTTCATGAACGACCGAGAATAGGGTATTGTCGCAGAACCTTAACCTTCATGCAAAATCTATAACTTAGTCGAAGTTTTCGAGCGTGGCCTCCTACCGGGTACTCATCTCCTCCTCCCCCCCCCCCCCAAATAAAGACC